AGATCCGGCTCGTCTTGGTACTGTCGACCTGTAGAATCTTTGTCAGACACCCATACATCTCCTGTTGCTGGCAGTGGGGGGAAGGAGACTGACCTTGCAAATAGCTCGCGCGTCCTTCTTCTTTAAACTGCCGCCCTGCTTCATCGCCTCTTTCAATAACGTCTCCTTAATTACCAGGTACGGCTTGGGCTGCATGTGCAGCACATTGCACACCTCGACTTCCTCCTTTGTCAGCAGGTGCAAATCCGGTGCTCCCTCGTTCTCCAGTTTCCACGGAATCACTCCGTTTAGTGGCTGGATCACGAACTTGGTCTTTGCTGGCTGCGGCGTGCTGATCCCGTCGCCATTGGTGGCGGCAAACGCCCGATCAAAATCATTCATCGGCGGGTTGGGAGGCTCTGGTGCCTTAGGCGCCCCAGACGCCTTTTGTAACCGGAGAGGGAGCTCCGGGGTCGTCAGCTGACTGGCGGCGGATGGCTGTTCTGGTTGCTGCGACTGCTTCGTCGGTCGCGTGCTGGCGAACCGATCAAATGAGCCCTGCGGCATCAGCCGCTGTGCCCGCTGTTGCTTCTCCTGTTCGTATTTCTCTCCACCCTTGAGATCGCCAATTCCCATCTGGCGCCACTCCTGGAGCTGCGTGATGGCTAGCCGCAGGTTGTGCTCGTACTCAAGACCCTTGTTGAACTCTTCGAAATCATCGTGGTTCATCATCCGGGCAAACGGCTTCGCCTTGTTCAGCAGATCGCGCTCCTCTTTCGTGCGCTTCTTCTCCAGCGCCGTGTTTTTACGGTACTCGAGGAGATTGTGCTCGAAAAGGATCTTCTTGCGCTCCGTGCGCGCAGTAAGCCGTGAGTTATAGATATCCACTACGGTCATCTTCAGTTCCATCTCCGCGTCCGTCTCGCCGTTCGCTGTCTCGCCCGCGCCAGGCTCAAATGTCATATGCTGTACCGCTTCCTCGGCTTCGTTCATAAACTCCGTCTCAAACTCCAACCGACCCGGCATGTAACCCTGCACTTCGTGACAAGCCGGTACACTGGCCGTAGGCTTCTGCTTCGGTGTTGTGGGGGCCGCTGCCTTGGCCGCTTCTTTGCGCTCCTCAATGCGGCGTTTCTTCCGCGCCTGGAATTCTTCCTTCGAAATGGCCTCCGAGAGGCGCTTGTCATCCGGATCGGCGCGTTCCGGTAACGGGAAGTTTGGACTATCGATATAGGCGCTGATGTAGTGGTCGCGGACCTCCTCCTTGGTGCGGTAACCGCCAATGTGGTCTGCAATGTCCGCCCATGAGCCCAGTCCGTAGATCTCGGCGCCTTCCAGCAGCAGGAGCTCCTCGTCCGCACCCCAGTCTTCCTCGAAGATCGGGACCGAGTTTTGTTCAATCACCTGGAACGGATGTGTCGACGGGTCATGGTTCTTGGATTTCTCTCCGGCAGCGAAACAGGGGACGCAGAGATCGTATTCGTGGCAGGCGGGATGGGCGCAAGATACGCGAACCTAGAAAGAGACCGATAAGTTAGGTTTAAGATCGACAAGAGGCGAAAGTCCTTGGGACCCAGATCGCAGACTATACCGTCGAAGTCACATCAACCGAGCAAATATCACAGTGATACTTGGTGCCCGCTTCAGTGCCGCGCGAGGCGGTCTTCTTCCGTATTACACCCATCGGTCGCGGGTCCCTTTCATCCTCCAATGTTCCCGGATCCGTTTCGACCACACCGACACGCCCTCCAGTAAAATGAGAGGGCAGTTTTTAGCTAAAGGAAAAAGAGTGATGCGCGTCGGGGATGAAGATGGTGGTCCGGAGAACGTCGGTAGCGCAAAGGGATGTACGTCTCCGCAGTCGATGAGCGGGGGGGAGAAATGCCGGGGAAACCAGGGTGGAGTAACCTTGAGGGTTCACGTCAAATTGGTCCCAAAGTAGTCGATTCAGCACAGACAAGAACCGTAATAGCAACAAGGTTTCTGGGGGATGGCGGGAGGATTGTGACAGCAGCAGTTCGCAGTGAATATGAGACTGGTCGCGTATCGGCGGACGGATGACTTGAGGTTCTGGGGGTGGGTGGTGGCTGAGCTCTGGGGCTAGTGCACTTGGTGATTGCTCGATCGGGACTAGACTGCGATCCCGGGATGCACCGCCTCAGCGTGACCAAGATGGGTGCCCCAGGCACACATTCAGGCAACGGGGTTCCTGGGCCAATGAAGGCCGGAGTGGCGGCGACTTATTCTATTCAGAGTTCAGCCTCGCTCAGTCCCTTTCCCACCTTCATTCACCCCCTCTTCGCTTTCCCCCCCCCTCCTCCTCCTCCCCCCATTTCCCAATTCTTCCCCCCCAATTCGCCTTATCACTGTCTCTCCCTAAAAAAGTCACAACCCGGGTCGATCCTCCTTCTCGTCGTTCCATCGCGTCCCTGACCCTGGTTCTACTTTCATCATCATCATTTCGTTTGTGCTCTCAAGCGTCTTGTACAATTTGCGGGTGTTCCCCTGTTCCCGCCCGATCGCTGGTTCCTGAAACTACTACCTACTTACTACTACTTACTTACCCTCTCCCTCCTCATTCCTCTCTCTCCCTCTCTCCCTCCCTCTCCTCCCTCTCCTCCCTCGTTTTCTTGTCTGGCTGACCGCTGTGGCTGTGGCGGTTCTGCATATTATCACTGCACTTGACTGGTCTGGCTCGTTCTGCCCTTCTTCTCTGCCAGGCCTCCGACCCAGTTGTTGGCCTCCTATTCCTCTCCTTTTTCCTCTTCTTTTTAAAACCGTCGGGGAACTGTTCGAATTGATCCTCTCTTTTCCTATTCCCTTCCTCTACCTCTTCTCCCTTTTTTTAACAAACATACACACACCCTGGATTCGCTTGCTAGAACATCCCTCTCACAATGTCGTGGAAACTCACTAGAAGTATGTGCGCTGTTTATGCCCGGTTGTGTTCCCTTTGTCCCGGCATATCGGATAGCTAATCAATTAATTCCCTCATACAGAACTAAAGGAGACGCACTTGGCTCCTTTGACCCAAACATTCACCCGATCCTCCTCCACATCCACCATCAAAGGTGATTCTGGCGAAGAGACCCCCGTTGTTTCGCAAACCCCCAGCATCTCCACAACAAACACCAATGGAATCAGTACGTTGTTCATATATCTTCTTCTCTTCAATTCCCTGCCGACCGTCTAACGTTATCCCAAAGATGCCTCGGAGTCGCTCGTCTCCCCGCCCGTGGCCCCTGTCAAGCCCGGAATCCTGATCGTCACCCTCCACGAAGGTCGAGGCTTTTCTCTTTCCCCCCACTACCAACAGATCTTCAACTCCCATTTCCAAAGTAGCGGTTCCTATGGCATGCGTCCAAGCTCCTCGTCATCCCACTCTGCACACGGAACGGCCGGCTCCTATGTCCCCAGCGGTCGCCCTCAGTCCACCAGCGGAGGTATCAATGCCGCTCCGACCTCCCACGGTCGCTATTCGACCAAGTACCTCCCCTACGCCCTTCTGGATTTCGAAAAGAACCAAGTCTTCGTCGATGCTGTTTCTGGTTCCCCCGAGAACCCCTTGTGGGCTGGAGACAACACGGCTTATAAGTTTGATGTGTCGCGCAAGACGGAATTGAACGTTCAGTTGTATCTACGGAACCCCACGGCTCGTCCTGGCGCTGGTCGCAGCGAGGATATCTTCCTTGGTGCCGTCAAGGTACATCCTCGCTTCGAGGAGGCTCAGCCCCATGCGGAAGACCCCAAGTCCAAGAAGACCCCGCAGGAGCGCCAGCTGGGCCAGCTGGGCGCCGAATGGCTGGATATGCAGTTCGGCACCGGCTCCATCAAGATTGGCGTCTCTTTCGTCGAGAACAAGCAGCGCAGCATGAAGCTGGAAGACTTCGAGTTGCTGAAGGTGGTGGGTAAGGGTAGTTTCGGCAAGGTCATGCAGGTCATGAAGAAGGATACGGGTCGGATTTACGCCCTCAAGACTATCCGGAAAGCGCACATCATCTCACGGTCGGAAGTCACTCACACCCTCGCCGAAAGATCGGTGCTTTCTCAAATCAACAATCCTTTCATCGTCCCTCTAAAGTTCTCCTTCCAGTCTCCAGAGAAGCTGTACCTCGTCCTTGCTTTCGTCAACGGCGGTGAGCTGTTCCATCACCTTCAGCGCGAGCAACGCTTCGATATCAACCGGGCCCGTTTCTATACTGCCGAGCTGCTCTGTGCGCTGGAGTGCCTGCATGGTTTCAAGGTCATCTACCGTGATCTCAAGCCTGAGAATATCCTTCTGGACTACACTGGCCACATTGCCCTGTGCGACTTTGGTCTGTGCAAGTTGGACATGAAGGATGAGGATCGCACAAACAGTAAGATTATTTCCTGCCCTCAACCTGGACTCGTTTAACATTTTGAAACAGCTTTCTGTGGTACCCCTGAATACCTCGCACCCGAGCTTCTGCTTGGAAACGGATACACAAAGACCGTTGACTGGTGGACGCTGGGTGTCCTCCTTTACGAGATGTTGACGGGTCTTCCCCCTTTCTACGATGAAAACACCAATGATATGTATCGGAAGATCCTTCAGGAGCCCCTGACGTTCCCCAGCACGGACATTGTTCCCCCGGCCGCTCGGGATCTACTGAGTCGTCTGCTTGATCGCGATCCCCAACGTCGGTTGGGAGCCAACGGCGCAGCGGAGATCAAGTCGCACCACTTCTTCGCTAACATCGATTGGCGCAAGCTGCTCCAGCGGAAGTACGAGCCCAGCTTCCGTCCGAACGTGGTATGTAACTCTTGATGTGGCTCGCATTATGATGGGGATGGTGACTAACCTTTGCAGATGGGCGCTCGCGATATCACTAACTTCGACCGGGAGTTCACCTCTGAAGCACCGCAAGATTCCTATGTGGACGGCCCCATGCTGTCGCAGACCATGCAGCAACAGTTCGAAGGCTGGTCTTACAACCGCCCGGTTGCCGGTCTCGGGGACGCTGGTGGCAGTGTCAAGGATCCCTCTTTTGGTAGCATCACCGAGTAAAAAGCTGATACATCATCAATCGACTCACTTGAACACCATACGTCTCTTCCAGACATAAAGGGAAATTGTTTGAGACAATTCCTTGCTCTTTCTACCTTTACTCGTGCATATTCTCTGCATAGCTCGAGCACTTGCTTCACTGCTGGTTCTCCCTGTTTTCCCTCTTAGCACAAGTGGTATATGGTATCTTTCTGTTGGAATCCATTCTCTGTGGCGGTGATCTCGGCTGAGCGCTTGTGTTTTTCTATCCTGGTTTGCATCTGAGATACAATTGAGGCGGGTCCCTTTCGTGCATTTCTCATTTACTGTCATTACCACACCTCTTTTGACTGCCGCATCATTTCACCAATTTGTCTCGGGCTTGCGTCAGTGATTTGCTTCCATCTTTGAACGACAGGCGGACGGCACAGGTAAAGCAAAAATTCTCCACACTTAGGCCCTCTACACATGGCCTCTGTATGCCTGATGAGTCGGCCTCGTTCTGTTTCAGATCTGCTGGTCCGATCCTTCGCTGCTTCGGCGAAATACGGATTGCTCCTGGGGAAGCCAAATCCATTTGGGGTCGATTTACATATGAAAGTACACATTTGAGCGGTCCTCGATTTAGACCATTTAGCTGCCCCTTTTCCATGTTGTTGTCGAAAATTTTGTCTGGGTGCTGCTCTCTTTGCGCGCTGGGATGGGCTCTAGCCAGTTGACGGTAAGGGTGTGTTGATTTGACATGACTGGCTCATAGAGAATGGGATTTACTATCTACAACTGAATCTGCATCACACAGCTAAACATAGTACGGTAGCCTTGGACATGTACTGTCTAGACCTCACCATACGCAGAAAGGGGGGTCACAATATCATCATCACTTCAAATCGTTAGAACAAGGGGTGATAGATACAGGTAGAATAAAGAACTGAACCGAAGACACATACAGTGTTCCAATATAGAGAACAAAAAAAAAAGGATGAACATAAGATTGAATCATGACAAAAGCAGGCAGATGTAAAAAAAAAAAAAAATCAAACATAGTTCTAGAGAGAATAAAGTTATGTAAAAAAAGCAAGCAAGCTAGATAAAAGTAAGTAGGAGGGTTGTCAACAGTACATGGAAATGATTTTTCCTCTTCTCACTTCTCTTCTTCCCACTCCTGCAGAAATTAAGGAAAAACCTTACACACGCTCTCTCCTAATCCTTCCCCACCTTATTTAGACCATCATCAGATCATGCCTCGGTCTCTTCTACTTCCTCTTCCTCTTCCTCTTCGGCTTCGGCTTCGGCTTCAGCTTGAGCTTCCACCTCAGGCTCACCGTTGGCTGCCGACACGGCATTGCCGTCCTCGTCGGCGTGCACGTCGATCAGAGACTCTGAGGAGGGGGGCTCAGGAACAACTCCCTCCTTCTCTAGACGGAGGTATTCGTCCCATTCCGGGAAGAGGTCATCGTCCGCGGCGAGGTCAGGGCAGCCCGGGGGGATACCAATGAGACGAGCGATCTTAGTCTTTCCAGAGCCCTCAAGAGACTCTTTCCATTGAGCGACGAGAGCAGGGGCACGGGAAGGCTTGTAGGTCTGTGCGAAGAGAACGGATTCGGCCAGACGGTTGGTACGCACCAGGAGGTCGATGCAGCCGTCAACGTCGCCCAGGGACCAGAAGGTGGAGAAGGCGACGTTGTGGAGACCGGCTTCCGAGGCTTGTTCGGCCAGCTGACGGAGGCCGTCCTTGTTGCCGCTGGCAGTGTGCAGAAGGAGGAGAGAGCCGACATCCTTGGCGTTGGTGAAGCATTCTTGGGCTAGGGCCAGGTTCCATCCTGCCAAGGCGGCATCTCCTACCGTCTTCCACTTGTGCTCATTGTTGGCTTCACGGGCAATTTCCAGGGACGATGTCGAGGTTGCTGAGCCCGAGTGCCAGCTCGAACCGGTGCTCTTGGTCTGTTGCGACTTCAAGGGCCATTTCCTTGTAGCCTTGGCCTTCGAGGAATCGCGCAACCTTGTTCATCTGGTCCTGGGGAACGTCCTTGAGCAGCTCAGCTGCCATGTCCATGTCGCCACGCAGCACCACGGTCTGGTACTCCACCATGCTGAGGGAGAGACCGAAGGAGACGACGTTGACGTCCTTGTCGGCAAGGTAGACTCTGCCATCGCGGGGCAGGTAGCCCAGGACGTACATGCCCTGGTCGAAGTGGGAGATAGTGTAGGTCTGGTCACCAACCAGGTAGTTCAGGCGGTTCGTCGAATTCGTGTAGATGAAGCAGTCTCCAACCCATTGACCTGTGCGCACGGACTCGTTGATATCGGTGACAACTTCGAAAGCGGACTCCACACCATCCTCGTCGGCTTCACCGGCGTTCAGACCGTTGACGTAGTTCTCCCTAGAGAATCGGAGGACATAGAAAGTATCCTCACAAGCAAGGGTCACCAGCTCTCCAGACTCAGACCAGTAGACCTATTTGACGTGTGAGTGAAAGGTCATCTTGACTTCGTCGTTGGGGGATACTTACAGCCTTAGGGTCGACTTCGATGCGGCGGACCAAGTTACCCGTCTCCCAGTCGAACATGCCAATACCTCCTTGCCCCTTAACACCAAGAAGCACACCATCGGTGAGACCCTCAGCTTGGAAGCCCACGTCCAGACCACCACTCACTTCCTTGAAGTTCTTGAAGATCTTGACGCTGGTCGTGGACTCCCGGATAGCGTAATCGTTGCTGTTGTCCTTGGAGCCCCAGGCAAAGTCCAGGGCCTGTCCAAAAGCCTTGTTTCGCCAGGCAAGGGCAGTGTAGATGATGTACTCACCATCGCCACAAACCGAAACGAAACGGCCGTTGGGGGAATGAGACAGCGTCTGGGGATAGACCTCACAAGATCCCAGCTCCTTAGTGGGGAGGGACAGTGGTGCACCGTCCTTGATGCTAGCATCACCACCCTTGATGACAGTGGAAACGACCTCGTTGTGTCTGGCCCAGATGATCTTTCCCGAGCCGTCCATTGAAACCGCCGGCTCTTCTCTGCCCATCTTCACAACCACCGCACCGTCGTCGAAACCCATTGCAACCCCCTGTCTGCCACGCTGGTAAGCGATACACCAGGCACGCTCCAAGCCATAGCTTAGCGACTGCTCCAGCCTGTATGTATTCGCATGCCAGAGCTTGATAGTTCCATCCTCCGATCCGGAAATGATAACCGGCAACTCCGGGTGGTAGCAGGCAAACGAAACGTTACTTGTGTGCCCTTCCAGGGTTGCAATAAGTGCCTTCGTCGTGTAATCCCAGATCTTGACGGTTCTGTCATCAGATGTCGTAAGAAGGTATGGCTTATCCGCTTGGGGATAGTAATCGACATGGTTGACACCCTTGGTTTCATGGGCTTCCAGGGTGAAGTTGGCGTGCGGCGAGCCAAGGCTCCAGATCTTCACGGTACGGTCCAAACAAGCGGAAGCGAAGGTGTTCGTATCCTTGGGGTTGATAGCCAGCCCCATCACATAGTGGCTGTGGCCCTCGTACACCTGGACACACTTCCAGCCCCTCTCCCAATCCCACAACTTGATTGTCATGTCATCAGACGCCGTAAGAACAAAAGGCTGGGTGGGGTGCACTGCGATGGAACGAATGTAATCCGGATGCGCCTCAAACGAGGCAATCTTCTCGGAGGTGTTGTAATTGTAGACGCGAAGTTGGAAGTCATCGGAACCGCAGACAATCCAGTTCTTGCGAGCGATGAAACGACCGGCTCGTACAGGGACATCGGTGAGTTCGAAGGTTTTGATGATCGACTAGATAGTTTACCAATCAGCAGTGCATCATAGCAATTCCTTGTTTGTACAACTCACCTGGGTCTCATAAGACCAGATGTATACATGTCCTGTGTCCGATTAGCACATCGCATCCGGAGACTTCCTCCACTCGCTACCGCAAACGCACCGCTATATAACGTTGTAAGAATCTAAGAACCATCAGTATTGTTCGACAGTTTACGGCGATTGAGTACTCACCCATGGCTCTGTGGGATGGAAGTCAATGCCCTTCACCCGCTCGGAGCGGGCGAACAGCTGTCTCTGTTAGGCCACAACAACAGTCAGCATCCGTATAATTGTTTCCTGAAAATATATCCTTCGCACGTCACAGCCTCTTGTTGAACTAAGGGCTTTAGACTCAGCATTATAACCCGTACCTTGACATCCAATTTCATGTTGTGTGGGGAAGGAGAGTCGCGACTATGTGCGGCGTCGGAGAACGGCCTGAGAGAAGGAGGGGAGAAACCAGGCCACGAGCCGCTCAAACAGCCAGCCCGTATATGCAAAGGAGTCCCGAAAAGCAAGTAGATGAGAGCGCAAAGAAAGAAGAATTGTCCCCGACCGGAATGGCCAGCAAGGTCAACGCAGATGTTCAGGGACTGGCAGCGATGTGTCCACAAGGAGACGGAATCCCGCCAGCTATCTGGAACCGGCTAGCCATATGGGGCTCACCGCCTACGGTTTGTGATTCCATGTTAGCATCAGACATCAGCACTCCATCACTGCAAGATATAGATGCTTGTGGATGTCTTTCTGATTGTCGATTATCTGGGATGGGAATGCCTGTGTGCAGATGGGACCATTCTAAGCACACCGTGGGGATGATTGCAATAGTCATCAACTAGAGCAATGAATTATACACATCACACGCATCGCTCGCACCAGCTCCCTTGGTTTCTTCCAAGGCATATTTGTAGGCAGTCATTACGGCGATTGATACTACATATATAAGAGTAGATCCCCAATAAAAGAAAATTGGCCTGGCATTGGCAACGAATTTTGTTTCACACAACCATAAGATAATAATTACAAGCAGATTGGAATCTAGTTTCGGACCCTCCTTTCATGAGAAAACATTCTATGCTTACTCGGTCTTGCGCTCAAAGTAAGACCACTGACCGGGTCTGGGCTTCTCCGAAAGCTCCTCCCAACTAAGCTAATGTTAGCATCTATGGCTTCAAAAACAGACTTGTCAACAGTCGACTTACGCGGATGTCTTGTACAGCTCGTCAACAACCTTCAACTCGCCCTCAGCAACCTCAATGACCTCCTCGATCAGGCCGGCGCCAATCTGTCTCTCAATTTCGGCAATCCTAGAAGACATAATCAGCATCTCCACAGAACGGTAGCATAGCTCGGACATGATGCCACATACTGCTCAGCCTCCAGGGCGGGCTCATTCTCCCACTTCATCTGTGCGGTGTAGAAGTCTGATTCAGCAGTGGGCTTGGTAGACTCCTCAATGGCCTTGTGCCACCGAGCTTCTTCCTCTGCCGTACGAGCGGGGCCCTCGGTAGTAGGTTCGATGCTCTCTCCATTCCATTCCTCACCGCGGGGGTTGTCGGAACCGTCATCACGCTGCCAGGCGGCATATGTACCGTCAGGACGGCGAAGGGAGGCGAAACGCTCGGGCTCTTCAGCGACAGCCTTCTTCACACGCTCCAACCAAGCATCAAAACCGGGCGGCTTCGTAGACTCGACAATCTGCAGACGGTGGCGGGTCAATGCTTCGGTAGACTGGCGGTAGACGGAAGACTCGGGGAAGGCCTTCAGCTTATCCAGGGTGGACTTGTAGAGGAAGATCAGGGTCGGGCGAGGGCTAGGGTGAGTGACGATGCCGGTCAAGCCGGTGGGAGCGAAAGGCTCCAAGTAGCGAGCCGGCTTCACGCCGGCCAGCAACCGGAACGTAGACCTCATTATAACTGGAGGTTGTGTTATTGGGCAAAAGGGCCGGGTGGTGACAGACCCAATGGCAGACGATAAGCGGGAATAGCGGCGCTGTCAGTCGTCAAGATACCACACTGGATCGGGATCGATGCGCGAAGGGTTGAGGTCCCGTGTCGGGGCGCGGAGAAACTGTGATGCCGGGAGACATTCTCCCTCAGTCTCTCCCTGCGGCTCTCGTGAAGCACCTCACTTGGTCGGCTTATCGCTTTCTTTTGTAGGAGTGTTCTTCCTGCATTCTTTCTCTCAAAGAGCCTGCGGATCGCCTCCGCAGTAGTCTCTGAGCCGAGCTCATCTCTGTTTCTTTTCGGCAGCATTTGTCTTGCTGATTTCTTTCGCCCCCTCAACAAGGGGTACATTCAAGCGTGTCCCTTAGCGATTCTAGACCGTCGTTAGTCCAATGTGCCACCTGTGACGCCCCGTCTTGACTTCTTCCACTACTCCTTCAACCCCCCGAAATTTACTCGTCCCTCTTTATTTCAGTCACGCTCTCAAGGTCAAGGACCTTGCGCTACAGCCAGCATGAGGGTCTCTTTGCTGGCGTGGTCTCTACTCTCTCTTCTCTCGATTCCCGCCTTAGCCGCCCCCTCCGATAATGTCTCTCCCAGCCATCATCTCGTAAAGAGAGGCGACTCCGACGTGAAGTCGGAGGGCCAGTCGACTACCTTTAATGGTATCGAGGTCCCGCCTATGAAGGCTCTGACTCCCGACAATTTCGATGACACGATTAAGGATGGCTACTGGTATGTTATCTCTTCGTTCTCCATCTACGGTTGGTCCTCCGGAAAGCTGACAAGAACCTAGGTTCGTCAAGCAGTACTCCCCGTCCTGCCCACACTGCCAGAAGATTGCACCTACATGGCAAACGCTTTATGAATTCTATTACGTGAGTTAACTTGTCGCGCATTGAGTCCACATCGCTCCTTACCAGTAGCATCCACTAATATCCCACTAGACCTCCGATCCTTTGTCCTCGCCGTCCTCCAAGTCGTCCAACACCGATTCGTTGAACTCCTTCCATGGCTTTTACAACTTCCATTTCGCCGAGATGAACTGTCTCGCGCATGGCGATCTTTGCCGCAAACTCGACGTCAAATACTTCCCCACCTTTGCGCTGTACCACAACGGTGAACTGGTTGAACAGTACACTGGAAAGAAGAGTATGGAGGGGATTAGCGAGTTCGTTGAGGAGAAGCTGGAACAGATCAAGCCTGGTTCGCGGCCTGCCCAGGGTCTCCACCTCCCCAAGCCTGGCGACAAGGGAGTGGATACTCAGGCTCAACCGGAGGCGCCCGTCGCCAAAGATAAAGACCGTGAGGCGGGCACCAAGGCCGGAGAAAAGCACAACGAGCAGGCTGCACAGCTGGCCGAGGATGAGACACCCGCAGACAAGGCGTCGATCAAGTCTAAGACTAAGCCGAAGCCGGCCCCTGCTAACCCCCAGGGTATTTCTGTCCCTCTCACCGCGGAAAGTTTCCAGAAGCTGGTCACGACTACTCAGGATCCTTGGTTCATCAAGTTTTACGCACCATGGTGCCACCACTGTCAAGCATTGGCTCCCAACTGGAGGGAAATGGCAAAGGAGATGCAGGGTGTTCTCAACGTGGGTGAAGTGAACTGCGACGCGGAATCCCGACTCTGCAAAGATGCCCGTGTCAGCGGCTTCCCGACGATGTATTTCTTCCGCGGCGGTGAGAGGGTCGAATATACCGGCCTCCGTGGCCTCGGAGATTTGGTCAGTTATGCCAAGAAGGCTGTTGATGTTGGATCCGGTGTACAGGATGTCGATGCCACCACCTTCAAAGAGTTGGAGGAGAAAGAGGATGTTATCTTCCTGTACTTCTATGACCACGCAACCACCTCGGAAGATTTCGAAGCTCTCGAGCGCCTGACCCTTAGTTTGGTCGGTCATGCCCGGCTTGTCAAGACGAACAGCGCTGCTCTTGCGGAACGGTTCAAGATCTCGACCTGGCCTCGTCTCCTTGTGTCCCGCGATGGCCGCCCCAGCTACTACAATGCGCTTGCGCCTAAGGATATGCGGGACTTCCGCCAGATTCTCAATTGGATGCGCACTGTGTGGCTGCCCATTGTTCCTGAACTTACCGCCTCAAACGCGCGGGAGATCATGGATGGCAAGTATGTGGTCCTCGGCATCCTGAGCCGGAAGCACTCGGATGAGTTCCTTCAATCGAAGCGAGAGCTCAAGAATGCCGCCCTTGAGTGGATGGATAAGCAGACGCAGTTGTTCCAGTTGGAGCGTGCTGAGCTGCGTGACGCTAAGCAACTGCGGATCGAGGAAGCTGAAGACCGTAACGATCAACGGGCCTTGCGGGCAGCCAAGAACATGCGCATTACCATCCGCGAGGATGACAAGAAACAAGTCGGTTTCGCTTGGATTGATGGCGATTTCTGGGAAAGGTGGCTCAGAACCACATATGGCATCGATGTCGAGAACGGCGAACGCGTGATTATCAACGATCAGGATGTAAGTGACAATCACAGATTAGTCAACTATCTGTTAGGACTTGAAGCTAACCTCTCTGTAGAACCGGCGCTACTGGGATACGTCTTCCAGCGGAGCTTCGATCATGGCTTCCCGAACCTCCATCCTTGAGACCATCCCCTTGGTCATTGCCAACCCACCGAAACTTACACCCAAGTCCACCGTCGGTACCTTTGAGTCTGTCTTCTTCTTCACTCGGACTTTCATCAGTGGTCACCCGATCATCTTCTTCATCCTCCTGACGCTTTCGGTGGCTGGTGCTACAATCGTAGCTCGGGGAAGAAGTCTTAGACGCGGGGCTCGTGGCGGAATTCTCGGGGTTACTGGTAACACCGGCGGTGGTTTCTTCAACCTTGATGGAAAGGAAGGTCTTCTGAACGGTGGATCGACCGGCAAGGTTGATTGATCCCATATGGGCATTGTACAGTTACTTCATTTATACTTCTTTTCCACGCCCTAATTTCGTGTCTATCTTGGACTTTTACTGGGTTGCTATACGTTTACCAGGATCTCTGGGTTTTTCATATTGATGGTTCTACTTTTTACTTTCGTCTGTTGTTTTGTCCCGAATGGTGTTAGAATATGGCGCTACTGTTGTACACAAATTCCCTTTAAAACTTTCACTGTCTTCCAGTCAGCCATACACAAACCAAAAAGTGTGCATAATAGCCAAGTCTTTTAAAAAGATTTTTTCCAACGGATGCTATGCTGCAGTAAAAGTAGAATGCTTCGAATCACGCATTTCGATTGTAGATGTAAATGGTGGTATGAGCAGTGGAAATGCGCGGCCTCTGATTTGACCAATCAGAATGTCACGTGAATGCCAATTGCCGGTCGCTGATTGGCTATCGGAAGCCGCAAGCACTCAACGTCGCGGAGTCTCCCGGTTTTCGTCGACAGCCTCAGACTTCAAGTGCAGCTGCCGTCATCCTTTGCTGGAGCAATTGTCGTTGCCGGACGTGCTTCTTTAGACCCAGTCAATATGGTATGTATTCTCCCAGAGATTCTTCGTCTGGCATTCATCCTGCCAGTGTTCTGTCGGGTTCCTTTGAGCTTGCCCACTGTTCAATTGCGTCGGGAGCCGTTATCCATGCTACTATGATAGCGACTTGAACCCTCTTTGGAAACAAGTGAACCAGTGCTGATTCCATCTTCTCGCCGATAGGTTTTCTCTCAGACTCTCCGCCGCGCCGCCGCCCAGAGCGCCGGTGCTTACCGCTCCCCTTTCGCTCCCAAGTGAGATTCCCCGATACCCCATATTCGGTCGACATACGAACACACAAGGTGTCCATGCTGGCTTGGGCTGGCTCAATGAGGCAGGGTCTCTACTGCTAGGTCTAGGTATTGCGGACTGCCTCTGGCACAACTACCTACTACTGCTGCCATACCCTGCCTCTGACGAGAATCCAAGATCCAGCTAGTAAAGGCACCAATTGAGCTGGGAACTGCAAGTGGTATATGGAAGCGACGTACTGACTGTATGGAATAGGTACCACACCCCCCTTCACTTCCACGGCCTCACCACCGGCCTGGCTACTAAGTAGTAAGTTTCCCCCTTTCGGTCCCAAGGCTACCCCCCGCCTTTGGCTTCCTGACAGTTCAACTTACTCGTTGGGCACATTTAGCGCTACCATTGCTGGCACCTTCGGTGTTGCCGCCGGTACCTTCGCCCTCTTCTTCTTCGGCGAGATCCCCCGTGTCCGCCGCGACATCCTCCAGAAGGTTCCTTTCCTCGATGAGTACTTCGACCGCACGATCGCTCCCGAGGACAACGTAAGTGCTTTTCCTTCATACCGCTCCAGTGGCACCAGCAACTAGGATTGAGGGCCGTGCTAACAATCGTCTAGCCCTTCTAAATCTGTGCCGTATGGGATATGCTTTTCCGACCATCTATAAGAACCCACCCAGCATGGATATGCTACCTAGCGGATGGATGGTGAAGAAAAGAGGGTGCTGTACGTGTAGAATAGCGATGAGTTTCTGATAGCACATAGACACTGGCTGCTTCATTTCATTTTCTTCAGTAACACTAAAACGCGTTGTCTATCTGCGTCTGCATCAAACGGCCAAAGGCTCTCTAGGAGCACATTCATGCCTTGTAGCCTCAGGCTATGGACATATCTCCCTCCTCAGGCACAGATCGCCCTTCTTTCATTAGGCTTCTTCCTTTCATTTTCTTTCTCCAACCACAACCTTGGACAGTTACGTCTACGCATAAACACTTTTGCGGCTATTGTTTGAGCTTGATCGTCTATTCCAAAGACTTCTGCCACAGGACCAGTCAGGAGCTAGTCATTCTATCTCTAGCGCCGGACTACAGGAACGCAATTGCAGCACCGTTCGCGTGCTGCGCAACGCATTTCCAAGTCACCTATCGCTGATAAGCTCGGAAAAGTCATTTAATTCAGTTCCTCGAGCCACCCTGGACCTTTGCCAGAATGTGTGAATGATCTGGTTCGAAAAGCTTTGGGGCTGCCATTCGCAGTGAACTTTCCACTGGATGATAAAAGGCCAATGAGGATACCGGAGTCAAATGCAAGGTATAAGTGGCTCCCGTGATATCTATGCATGTTGTATGCGGGAACTGATCCAGGAGTCTATGCTTCGTCTAGGGACCACCGATGAGCAAGCATCATGTAGACACACTGTAGCTACGATGAGATGCTGATAATCAACGACACCAACCCCGCTACTCTCATAAAGGCAGGTATAGCCTGCCAAATCAGCGATGAGCGACTCGATTGGTATAAGCCAATTGTTTCCCACAATGACAGGTCATAATTTCAAGCAGCTCCAGATGCTGCCGTCCGTCTTATCATCGACCCGTTAGAACCACTCTGATATTCGCTCGATGCTTATCATCCGGCAGTCAAAGCACCCAATAGCCAACCAGTTGCCTCCGATAAGCCCGAGTGGATGGATTCCCCAGCTTCTGGGTCATTGCTCTAGCGTCAAGTTCAAGGGGTTCTCCAAGTTCTGTCTTCGCTCGCAGCGCCTGAAGTTTCCTAGCCAAGTATGGTGCATGCCAAGCTTCAAGGTCTCTGACCAGCAAGGAGCTGCATCCTATCTCGTCTCCATCCTTAGCGAGTCATCCTACTCGTTCCTGCTGGTTGACTGCAAGTGATGGTCTTTCCTTCGGGTCATCCAGTGAGATCGTGACCAGCTGCCAAGCGTATCAGCGCTCGATCCCCGCTTCGCTTGCGCCCAGCTTTGAAGGTACCTGAGTTCCTTAAGGCGTTTATCGTGTTTCGCCAGCATGCCACCTATCTTACTCAAGGCTTTGGCTATCATTTTCAACACTTTGCAGGACGGGACATGTCGTGTGCAGATAAGATGGCTGTCTTGATTTTCCGAAGGCCACACATATATGTACTGGCGCATGACCCTGTGTGTCCCGCAGCCACTCTATGACTTATCTTTTAACCACCTGTGTCTTGGACACTTATACTGCTTAAACATTTGTCTGAGAAAAACAAATGAAAGTTTGTGTCTGAGCTAGCAAACGCTGCGTCTTTGCGTTGCTTGCTTTTTCCTCCTTCCACCTTACTTCCTACCCCGCCGCTCCCACTCTCCAGCAGCAGCTTACTGTGTATATATCGCCTCTTCTTATATATATATGAGACCTCCATAATGTCTGGTACGGGCAGTCACAAGGCTGTCTCCAAAGGAGCAGTGTTCGCGGACGTCGATCATGACCCCGTCACGACCGTACTGCCGCAAGGCGACATCCCTTATACCGATCATGCGATGGATGCGGACGAGAGGGTCATTGTAGCCCTGGGGTACAAGCAAGAATTTAAGCGCGAATTTTCGCTATGGACAACATTTTGCGTCAGCTTTTCGGTACTCGGGTTGCTTCCATCATTTGCAAGCACGATATACTACGGTAGCTGTTCCTGGACCCTTTGATACAACGGGTAGGGCTGACGTCCACAAAGGAATGGGCTATGCAGGAACGGCTGGTATGGTCTGGGGCTGGATCATCGCGATGGTTTTCATTCAGTGCGTCGCCATGTCCATGGCTGAGCTATGTTCCGCGATGCCTACAAGGTAAACCTTGCCTCATCGCCTGATATAGGAGAATAAGACTGACTTTAGCAGTGGTGGTCTTTACTACGCCGCAGCAGTCCTTGCACCTCCAAAATATGGGCCTTTTGCCGCTTGGATCACAGGATGGTCGAACTGGATCGGGCAGATCACCGCAGCGCCATCTGTGGATTACGCGCTTTCTGCAATGATCCTCGCCGCTGCATCAATGCAGAATCCAGATTATGTCCCCACTAACTGGCAGGTTTATCTCCTGACAGTGCTCGTTCTCATCATCCATACGGCCATCAGCAGCATGCCCACCATATGGGTCGCCCGAGTCAACTCCTGGGGCTCAACGTTCAACATCATCGCCCTCATCATTACCCTCATCGCTATTCCTGCTGGAACTACGAATGAGCCCAAGTTTTCCTCGTCCAAGGACGTTTGGGGCACCATCACCAACCTCACCGACTTCCCCGATGGTGTTGCCGTTCTGATGACTTTCGTCGGCGTCATCTGGACCATGTCTGGCTACGATTCGCCATTTCATCTAAGCGAGGAATGCTCCAATGCCAATGTCGCCTCGCCGCGTGCGATCGTAATGACCTCGGGGGCTGGCGGCTTGCTGGGATGGTTCCTGCAGTTAGTCGTCGCTTACACAGTCACCGACATCGACGCAGTCATAAATTCGGACTTGGGCCAGCCCTGGGCCTCGTACTTGCTCCAGGTCCTGCCCCGCAAGACTGCTTTGGCCCTCCTAGCCCTCACCATTATCAGCGGTTTTTCCATGGGACAGGGCTGCATGGTGGCTGCCTCACGAGTAACCTACGCCTACGCACGAGATGACTGCTTCCCTCTATCCAAATACTGGAAAATGGTCAACACGCGCACCCAGACCCCTGTCAATGCGGTGATCCTCAACGGCGTCCTGGGAATCCTCATGTGTCTGCTGGTTCTAGCTGGCGATACAGCCATCGGAGCGTTGTTCTCTATTGGCGGCATCGCTCAGTTTGTCGCTTTTGCCATTCCCATCGCGATTCGGGTGTTCTTTGTTGGTCACCGGTTCCGGAAAGGTCCGTGGCATCTGGGCCCATTTGGACCCTGGATTGGGGGAATGGGTGTGGCGTTCGTGCTTCTCATGGTGCCCGTGCTCTGTCTGCCCAGTGTCACCGGCTCTGATCTGACACCGGATCTGATGAACTGGACGTGTCTGGTCTGGGGAGCGCCGATGCTGGGGGTAACTATCTGGTGGGTTGTGGATGCGCACAAGTGGTTCACGGGACCCAAGGTCAATGTGGAGCACGCAATCCACGCTGCGGATGCGACTGTTATAGATGGCGTGGGAGCAGATGAGGTTGTAGTGCAAGACGATGCGTCGAGCAAGGCATCTGCGAGGTAGTTGCCTCACTACTCTGTTCAGGTTACGTTCATTCTAATGTTTGGCTACAGTCGTCCACAGACGCCGCATACAGTCTTGTAAATTATCCGACACTGCGTCCATATACTGCTAATTAGTATTGTATCTCTGAAATTTGTATGGCCTCACGCATTCATCTCCCAAACAACCAATCTTGTCAGTGAGGGAATCGAGTAGGAAAGCATATAAACACACCCTTAAGCTGTTTGTGGTGAAATGGAAGAATATTGCTGTTCCTTCATGATCAGCTACCATGATTCTCTTCTCCACAGCCAGGATCCACCCGCACTTAGGCTACAGAAGCCTCATATAGAACTCAGCCCTATTTATGGACCCTTTCAGGGAGCTAGTTTAATTTCCGTGAGGATCTTCAGGTACTTGCGGTCGTTACCATAGGTTAGGCATATCTCCGAAACATGAAGCAGGAAAGTGCCGGCAACACTTTGACAGAGCAAGATGGCTTCTAGTATTTATACCCTACTTGCTATAAGCCTCATTCATCATGGCACTTCGAGACACTCGCTTCTAGCGTATTTCTTCGCTGTCTAGAGACGCACCATGTCACACTTTCTGCTATTCATATTTCGCAAACTCCTCAACACCTTCATCTACTCTACAAGACATGATCCACTACTCGCAAACGCCCATGGACTCTTCCAAAAGGGCCTTCCTACCCAGCCCACCCACAATGTGCTGGTACTATTTACGACCATTCTAGGATTAATCCTCGAGCTCGCAGTAAGCAATCCAAATTCCCCCAGAACGAGCACAAACTAACAAGTATCCATCATCACCTCAGATCCGCCACATCATCGGCAACGTTGTAATGCCCCTCCTAATCCTCGAAACCATGGAGAACCAGAGCCCCAACCCAAACAAGGATGACAACAAGAAATCAAAACCAAAACCCACCATCACTCGCAGCCTTCTCCAAACCATCACCACCTTCCACCGCAAAGAAGGACTCATTTTACTCCTCAACGGCTTCCAGTACGCCATCTACTACAATGTGAAGTACTTTATAGTAACAGGTTTACTCTCATCACCTATCGCACGCTTCCCTGAACCCCTCGCTCATATCATTGCCTCCGTCGCACTCGCTGAATACCATTTCTTCCGGACAGCAAGCGCTGTCCTCCCTCCGGCTGAGCAGATGCGCTACGTGCCTCTTGACCTTGATTTTAATCGGTGGGATGCGCTTCTCTTACCGACGCTGCTTTATGCTGTAGCCGAAGCTATCATGATGTATGTGCCGGGGCTGTTGCTTTCCCCTCTTGATCTGGATGAGGTGCTGCTGCTGCCGTCGGACTTGTCAGGCATCACTGCCCTCGTAAGATCCGATATTCTTGTTGCGGGGCTTATGCTCGTTGCTCAAGTCTTACTATTGTTTCCGGCGTATATTGTGCTTGTTATGGTTGAGGGGAGTTTGGTGCCGGGGGATTGTGAGACGTTGATATCTTTGCCGGAGAAGGAAGAGCAGGATGAGAAGCAAGAGGATGACAATAACAACTATGAAATGATGAAGTGGGGCTGGGATGATGAGGAAGAGGAGGAAGAGGAGGAATGTCCAAAGCAGCAAGGCAGGCTCATCAAAGACATCTTCAGGTTACCAACACCGTTGCATGTGCTTGATGTGGTGGAGATGATTAGTGTGAGACAGTTGCTGTATTGTTTGGAGTTGCATGGGCAGATGTGTTTGTGTTTGGTTGGGATTGCTGCGATGGTGCAATCGGTGGTGTATTTGGTGTCGTAGGGGGGAGTAAGGTTCTTCAGTTCAGATCGTCTGTCCGCGATTTAGTTATGTGGGTAGGTTATTATGGGTATGTGTTGAATTCTGATATTGAAATCGCGCACAGAACACTCGTCTTTCATCCTATGAGGGATGTCAAGTCACATAAGCGTTATCATCCAGGAAGAGGGACTTGTGGGTGCACGGGATGTGAGAGAGATTGAGAGTATAGACAAGCATTGCTGATGAATGGCATTGCGCATGAAAGAGAGAAGGCAGCAAGGGAGGCTATTTTCCTTTACTGCAAATATAGATTGGTACTTGACTTTCCTAGACGTTGATTTTATCCTTTTCAGCAGTGACTGCTTTATCATTCTGCGTCGCTCTGAGTATGATAATAAAATATAATCCTTGTGATTTGCCCCCCTTCTACATTAGTGGTTGTCCTGCATATACTTGTGTATATTCATCACTGAAGTTAGACGGGCAGAACGATAACCTCTGTTTATTGCTTTCTACATTCCACCTATCTACAGCAGACCAGGAGTACTTTCTTCAGAGAATATTCTCCAATATCTACTAAATACAACCCAGTAATATCCGTAAACATGAACAATAGTAGAATTATATAAAGTAGTACTATTGAACATAACCAACCAACCACATTACTACTACTAGTAGAAAAAACCAGCAGTCATGTACCAAGCAGCAGTATTAACCAAAAATGCATTACGAGAGTGTTTTTTCACAGACTTGAACGTTAGCAGTGTTGTAACTAGCACTCCCAAGATGGGGAGTACTGATGGACGGAGTGAATATAGTTGATGTCGCTTGGTGGGTCTAAGTACTATTAGAATTGGGTTTGAGGTACTCAAGGCAACCAGAGAACAAATTCAGGAGAAATACAAATAATGGTTTTTCTTGATTAGTACAAAATGAGGTTATATCTCTCGAGAGAAGTCTCAATTTGTACACTATGATCATAGTACTAGTTGTACATAGTCAGTTGCAGTGTGTGTATATATTGAGGGAAGAAGTTACCCCAACAAAACATACTATATATAACCACCATCATCTGATGCATCCAGCAAAACAAAACCTACTACTACTAACTACTACAGTACTTATCCCCCCCATCAATACCAAACATTAATCTAACATAATTCATACTACTAGAATATATCCTCAACCAACAAAAACCCCATAAGATCAATTATGATAGATATCCCTCCCTACTAACTAACCAGTAGATAGTATCTAGCCACACCATACATAAAACCATACCACACTTAGCAGTTAGCACCACTTGTACTCCATCAAGCAAGCATAATCCCTACCTACTTAACGCGATCCACAACCCAGCCCAGCCCCGACCACAAACACAACTCCCCCCTCCCCTCCCATCTCCACTACGCCTCCCCCCGATCGAACGAATGACTTCCCGTCTCTCTCTCCAGAAATGCCCTGCAACCTTGACGCGGGTGTCTTCTGCTTAAGCCATTAACCTAATTGATCCGGTTGGATCGTAGGAATTTTCGCTTGATGGGCGGGCGGGCCATAGGGGAGGAGAGGGAGAGGGTCATTAAATTTCCTGCAGGTACGCAGGTTGCAGTAGTATCCATCTACCATTTAGATGGTTAGTAGCAAGTAGGGCTGGGATGTGTATCCTTCAATCTATCTATCCAGTTTATCCATGTCCATTCTATCCACTGATCACATTGCATGGCGTTTTGTAGAGCAGCGAAAGTGTAATTTTTATAGTAGACTGGGTTGGTTGGTACCTTTGTCGGTACTTTACTTAGGTGAGTAGTTGATGGTCCATGGTAATTTTATTTCATTTTATTTTGATTGTTTTTCATTTCTCCTCGTGTATTTCAGGTAGGCGATGACCTCTCCCTGTCTTCACCGACTTTTGCAACTTATTTTTTTCGGGGGGAGGGGGGATTGCTGGGTTGCTTGCTGAGTTGTAGGCAAGTCGTTGCCTATCGTATCGGCAAAATGCCCAGTGGTAAATTTACCCCCCCGATGCGCTGCCGACATTTTGTCGAGCATTCTTGGGTTAGAACATAAGTATCTAGCTAATTCTTCAGCAGGTTGGCTGGTATGCTCTTCCGTCGGATGTTAGCCCGTGTTGGGATGGTCTTGCATCGACTATATGGTGTAGCTTGTAACTTTATCTTTGCTGGAGACCCAAGTCAACCCAAGCTCCGAGAATAAAGAAAGAGCACGAGTGGTGAATTGAGCAGCGGGCTGAGGTGGGTTTGGGCTGGGGGAATTGATTGACAGGGGGAAAGGAAGAGGGGAGGTTGGTGCTTGGCAGAGAGAATCCGTTATTCCGGTTTCCCGCCTGAGGCCTTCAACTCGCTAGTTGGTCAGTTGGTTTAGTTGCCTGGGGCTAACCCTCTTGCGGTATTATTTTGCTTTTTACATTATCATTCTTCTGCCTCGGCAGCCGAAGAGGAAGATGATGATGGTGATGATGCTGTTTGCTGCTAGTGCAAATAACCTTGGTGGTAATCATATAATTGACAGAATTAATGCTATAATGATAATAGTAATAATCGACATCTAAAAGCAAGATAGAATCAGCTTACCTCTCTCAAACCGTGGAAGATGCCTATTGGGGAAAGTCACAACAATCCTTTTCCAGCCTAGGAAGAAATTATAATCTGCCATATAGACTAGGCAGATAAACCTGGCTGTCTCACACTGAGATCCCAGTCCGCGTGGCTGCTGGTCGGCCTGTCGCCGGTGGCAAAAATATTATACACGACAACAGACAAGCGGGACGGGGTTGGACTCGCCTTTCTGGCCATCGAGCAGATCATGGATACCCTCAACTCCAGGTTTCCCTTTCCCCCCCTTTCCCCTCAGCACCCCCTCCTCCTCCTTTCTCTTAGTTCCTCCTCCCTTCTCCGTAGTGCGGACGTACCCCTGCAGCTTTAGTGAGAGGGGGGTTCGTCGTTTATCTGATCACGCCTCAGGCAGCCACATACTCTATCTGAAATGAAATCCGTATGGTGGCTTCCCGGCCACTGGTGACGGCGTTACGCTCAACGAACTCTAATCCTACTAATCAGGCCATTTTCACACCATAGCCACCCGGATACCACTCCGGCCCTGGTAGCATTTGATACGGTTGAACATATCACACTCGCCGGATCATACATGCGCCTCAAACCAGTCGGAAACATCATGACGCGGCCCTGGTAGATACATCCCGTATCCCAAGGATCCGCCATCGTATCATTCAGAGAGTCAACAGGGACCATGCGGTTTTGTTGCCATGGCCCATCGTCGGATCCAAGACCATGGTTCGATGGCTACCCTCGGATCGACGACCAGTGTCAGTGCCGCCCATGTCCGACTGGGTACATTGCTCGATCGAACGAGTCCTACCCCCCCCAGTTATGCATGACCCTAGTCCGGGTGGCTGGCGAATGGATAGAGCAACTGTTGCAAGCGCCAACGATGCCCGTCAAGTGTGTGGGATAGCCTGTAGCTGCAATAACATCCCAATTAACTAATTACTAGCCGTTCTTACACTCCTGCCAACTCGGGCAGTAGTAGCTTGTAATATTGTACGCTGATAGCCATTGTTCAATATGGCCTTGATTTTCAGACATAAAGCGAGCCGGTGTAGATGTCTCGAAATATTGTGTATGCATCTACCCAGCCACCTGCTGGGTACCCATAGATGTATCTGATCGAATGGGAAAAAGTAACGAAGGCGGCGGCAGCAGAAGCGACAGCATTCCGGGCGGAAGAGCGGGAGAGAGAGTGTGAGCGGGCTGGCTGACTCGCAGCGTCGGGCACATGACCATGATTACCTCACCCATGCGATCCAGATCAATCGCTAACTACTCCGAACAGAGTAGTTACTTTGTAAACTAACTCAAAACAGGTGGACGAAGAGGAGAGAGGGGAAAAAGCCTGAGCAGCACAGGCTCAGGCCACACAGCACACAATACACACACACCGAACAACAACCAACAAAATGTGCATCGCAAGAGCGTCCGGTCCGCTTGGCATCAAGTGGAATGAGGTGAGTGGCGTTCTCGCCTCGCTCAACACTTTCGTTGTCATTGGATCGCACGCGAGGTCTGAAACTGAGCCGATCCAGACTTGAGCTTCGGCATTACTCCGGTCGTGGCCGGAAAAACCACCCTGGCAGGGTAAAAGTGCCGAGGAAGTATCCGGCCGACTCTGACCGTCCCGGATTCGGCGGGAGGATCTGCATGCGGTCGTTTTGAGTTCTTTTCTGCTCTGTAGGACCCGTAGGGATGCTTTTCGTCGAGGGGCTAAGGACTTTAGCGCTGCCGAACTAGTCCACGTACGGAGTTTAGTGGCATTATATCACTATTATGTTATTATCGCGGCGCCTGTTGGTTTTCATTGTTCAGAGATTGGACTCGGACCAGCCACGCTGCGCGGTTGTGCCTGCTCATCCCTGCCACGTAGATGGTATACGGTAGAGTCTCTATCAATTTGTTGTAATGGATGTACTTTCGGGCCTGCACACACAGTCCTTTTGGGGAGGGCAGCGGTGTCCGTAGTATAGAATCTATATATGGAATTCGACGCAATTTGATGTAGGTACGTGTCGATACGAAGTAATCGACACCACATATAAGACGCTTGGCTACTATTGCAGCCGGGTAGGACCTCCGTACCCAGTAGTAGTGAGTACCAAGCCCGAATAGTGCTTTCGTGCCTGACACAGTACGGTGGGCGGAGAGCGGCGGACAGCAATATGCCTCCCTACTGTGTACTCCGTAGACCAACTAGCACGCAACTGTCTCACAAGCGAGGCCAAGCTTTAGGACGATAGCAAGCTGGCGGCGATCGGTCGGACAATTTCTCGTTGAGCCATGCCGTTAAGCACCTGGTTTAACCTCTGGCTATGCGCTGCCTAAGGACAAACAGCGTCTAGTGCGCCTTCTCTCGTACGACAGCCACTCTGTGAACTGGGTCTTCCTGAGATCTCCCACACCGCCTTGCTTGGGTGTCTCCGTAGAAGTTTCCATGAGCGGGCCATCGGCTTCGTTGGTGGAGTCCGGCGGCCGTGATCGGACCGCCACATTGGGCGAGGTGCAGGCTAGTACCGGGAAGCTACCACTGGATGCATCATGTTGGTCTTACCGTGTCCGGGAAGGCGTCTCGCAGTGGTGCTGACCGGCGTGAGAACTGTGGGCGCCTGTTCCTTGGAACACCAGCGTAAGTGGCAAGTCAGGCGAGAAGTTGCAGAACCATCATCCACCGGCTTAAGAGCAAGCGCTAGTCTAGCTGATTATTATTTGTGGTTGAGCGATATATCCGATCACATAGGCAAGGATGGGGACCGACAACTCCTAATAACATGACAGACAAATGATGAGTTTAGGAACGAGGAGATACCAAATTGGCAATGGATATTCCATCCAGCCGAGCGCAGATTGCAAGATTAGTTTTCGTTCCGCACAAATTAGTAATGTTAATACCGGGTTGGTAACAGAGTATATACGTATTGGATGGTACGGTGGTGGTATGACGGCATCTTTCCTTCACGCTCCCGTAGTGCTCCGTGGCCACGAGCGCGAGGCCTCATCCGAATGTAGTTAATGTTATTCCTCCTGGGAAAGAAGAAGGCAAAATAGGCTTCCGCATTTGCAAACTGACGGAACTCTCGTCCGCGCAATTCCGCCATGCATGGCCAATTTCGCTCCCACAGTACTATCTACTCCGTACTGGTACTGAATTGCGCCTCCTTCTGAGTTTATGAATCGCTGCATGCTGTGTGACCCCTGCCGGGTGGTCAGATCAGATAGCTTCGATATAATACGGAGAAGCAAGTGCAGCGATTCCACTCGCCCGCCTAAGCCAGAGGTCGAGGTCCACAATCGAAGCGGGAGAAGCTCCCAGCGAAAATCTCCTGGTGGAGAACAGCCGCAGTCTTGAAGTCTAAAAGAGGACCCATCATGATGAAGAATCGTTGATCTGAGGAATGATTTGTAGATTAACAGCCGTAGACACTGAATGGTCCTGCTCACTGCTCTAATGCCCCCCTTCCGGGACTCGAGATTGATGCCAGCAGCGATTGCAGGAATGAGTTTGATTATGATCCATCATACCTCCGGTCGGAAGTGGCAGGGATACGCAGCGCCGAACCACGGGTTACGCCTGGGAAATGTGGTATTAGTCGATTCTCCGAAATCACAATTTCCAAGGCGTAATCAAGCTGTTAGGGGCGGCACGCTGGCATGGATGGAACAAGGTGCGTGGCCTCCTCGACTTGCCAATTGGCCGGATTTCTGCCACTCCCCGAAACGCAAAAGTACCACGCTTGCGGCCTGCAGTCTAGAAGCTCCATGCAGCTGGTATATACCTGAGGCGTTCAATCATGGTCGGAGCCCTGTAGGTGGTGGTGTCTTTGCGCTGAACATCACTTGTCCTCAGGCGTGGGATTTTCATTCCCAGGAGACTTGGAGGGTAGCCTGAGTGGTCTGAACGCCAAACTTGTAATCTCAGAATGTCTCAGGAGGCACACATGCACCTGCTTGGGAAGCCCGTCCAGCGCAGCTTACGCAAGTCTGAAATATTACCTACTTGCCAAAAGCAAACCGAGCGCATGATATGAGTAATAGATGCAGGCTCATCCGTTGAGTCGTTGCTTGTGACACCACCGTTAGAACTATCTCCTGTCACTCCTTGGTAGAGACCGTAGTAGGGGGTATATCAATTGTTGAGGATACAAAACAATGAGTAGTATAGTAGTACTGTGGCTGCGTGGGAGTTGTAGCCTGCGGCGGGAAACACTGAATTGTAAACCAGTTATTAACTGAAGGTAGGTACCTGAATGCTGCGGACAAGCCGCACTTGATATAAATACCGGTGATGGGGAAGCGCAGGATGAAAGGCCCCATAGGGATCCCCATCGGATGTCACACATTATGGAGTATTGATGGAGTATATACTTCTAAAATCGAGATTGACAGCCGTGGAGTAGAGTGGGCAACTCTACCATTGTTCCCAGCCGTGAAGCTCAGGTCCAAGCCAGGATGCCACTCCACTTCGAACAAAGATATCGCCTTGATAAGGTTTCCTGCCCCTACCTAACTCATGTGGGATTGTGGATGTGCCATGAGGACTGAGCGCCCCAAGGAGCCAATATCGAGCAAGCGGGCCTGTCAACTGCGGAGAAGGGATGCAGAACTCCATCCGCCTCATGACATCAAGCATACTACAAAGTAAAAGAATACTTCTGCTTCCGAAAATGATGAGAGACGCAAGAGTTTGTTGAAAGGCTCTGCTGCACCCAGGCTACTATAATGTCTCGGTGTAATGTCCAAGCTCGAAAGGGCAGTCGAATGCGACCGGACGGAGCACTGCCTGCCTGCTAACCAATTCCTACTACTACTAGTAGTAATAGTAGTTCGAAGTATGTACCAAAAACAGGGACGTTACTTACTTTGTACTGGCGGTAGGCATGCATTCATGGGTGTAGTTATGTATAGTAACTACAGGGATACTTACGAGATTCACTAAGCTTTCCAGACCAAAGCTCCGGCTTTGCGCTTGTCGGAAGCTCAATCTTACGGCGGGCATGCAGTCTTAGACCTCCCGCCCCTCCATGTCTTCCTACCCCCTCATCACCAGAAGAACTGATTTGCTATGCTGCTGCTGTGTCTGGATATCTGCTACTCTCCTTTGATCCTTCCATCCGGGCCCGATGCCTTAGTAGTACAGTAGTAAGTAGTAGTATTTTTGAGTCTCTCGGCCCTGGCCCTTCCTTCCCCGGAGGGGTTCAGAACCAACTGGCGTAAAATTACGGTCTTCCTTGCGATGAGTGTAACGATTGAGACGCGGACATCTGACTCTCCGACTCCGTTCTGGATAGGCAGAATGTCTTTCCAATACCATATTCTCATAATAGTAGAGCAATAAAATAGGATCACTTCTTCGTTATGCTTGACGCTTGGCCTAGAACAGTTCATGCGTTTCTCCGCTTGCGTCCGCGCAAGTCTCTGGAGTCTTGTGATTGGTAGGCTAGAAGACCGGTAACAACAAGTTCCTGCCAGGTATCTTTCCCGTGGCTGTCTGCGGCGAGGATACGATCGAGTACATCGGGTTTTGTCTTTTCGGTACACGCCCGATGTGTCTCCCCTCCAAACCAATCTGTGACACAGAGGAAGCCTGACCAAGAAATCCGAATAATAAAAATACATTATGCGATGAACGAGTTAGCCAACCAGCATCGTCGATCGAAATAGCGCCTTCAACAATTTTCCCCTGCTTGCCGCTGGTGCCAACCAAAATCGACTTGTGCTCTGCTGAGGGCTTTCCTCACCCTTCCGGTGTTCTACATTTCGGAAAAGACTCTGATTGTTGAGCCGAACTTGCCGTCTCTTGGGCGGCAGAAAGTTTACAGAACCGTTCCTCTTCTCGTGGTTTAGAATTCTCAGTGCCAAAGGCACTGCGAAGCCTACCGAAGCACGCAGATCTTGGTTAACGTTTTCGACATCGTTGTACCCAAAAGGTAAAGCACACCAGGGAGACCACAAAAGTAGGATAGTCTAGTAGTTTGCAGAGAAAATGCAGACCTTGTTCGGCTCTTGACTGGGTTTCGGAAACCGGACGAGGCACGAATCAGGTCAACGGCAACCAGCAACCGTCCCAAACGTTGGGTGCTGACTGAGTAGAAGATGATGCTAATAAAATCATAAAAATAACTAATATTTTCCGGTATAATTTTTTTTTAATAGTATTTTTCCCTTTTTTTCCATATTTCTTTTTTTACATTTTTTTTCCCTCTTCAACTTTTACGGTTGTCGCCTCCCAGAGTTACGATCGTCACCGCCAATCCCCAGTTAACCTTCAATTAGTCGTGATTTCTTTCCCTCTTCCACTTTTTTTCCTCCTTTGCCTTTAGTAGTAGGTTAGTGTGTCATCTTTCGCTCTTCCGATACTGACGATTATTTTTTTTTTTCCCCTAACATTTTTTTTTTTTTTTTTTCCTCCTTCACCCACTTAACTTTGTGCCGCCGCCGCCGTTCGTCGCCCCCCCTTCCACCCCCCCCTCCTCCTCCCTCCATTCCCGTGACTACCCTAGGGACGGCTACCTTGGGTCTTCCCTCTTGGAACAAATTTTCCTAAGCTTTTGTATTTTATTTTATTTTATTTTATCATTCTTTTTCATTTTCTTTTTTGCCCTCTTGCTCTTCTTCCCCCCCTTACTTTTCCTCTTCCTTCGCCCTTGTCTCCGCATCTATACGCGTTGTCCCTGGCAGTTGTGATCTTCCCATCAGAGCCATCCTGGTCAATCTCGCGCGCATTGTTGACGCGAAGCAAAATTTGGCTAGCGAAATTTCCCTCTAGCACTGCTGATTGTGTTAGACCCACTTACACGCCGCCTCCCTGGTGGATCAGAACCATTGACTGTTTTGACAACGTGCGGATAGTGAGAAGTTCCCACACAACTCAAGTTTCTGGTGGGTGACCGTGGGGAATTCAGATTAAGCATCTCGACCTCTTTCCTGACCTCTTTTCTGCAGTGGAGTCGGACTTGATCCTGCACGTCTATCGTCGACCTTGAGGATCCTTGAGCGTCGATTTGCTTATCGAACCTACCTCTTCCGCGAATCTCATCGTCAATTCTCCGCATCAGGTGGGAGGATTGTTCATTCGTCGGAACAAGAAAAAGGAACCAGAAGTCACAATCGAAGAGAAGCGAGCACACAACTCCGGGCAGGAGAATTTTGCGAGCGAACGCGATCAGGATTTGAACAAAGTGGCATTGGCAGTCTTTTCGCATCCACGGAGCACTGCCTTGGTCGCAAGACACATCCTACGAAAAGGTTTTCTCGCCCTGCGATCAATGATCGAGATATCGTGAAATCTTCTTTCGCCAGTTCCTCACCCCAATTCTCTTCTCTCCCCCTTCACCTCCCCTCCTCCCCGTGTTTGAAAGCCTCTCCGCGTCACGATGGATCCCAGATCTCATCCTTCACGGCCCCCATCCACCAGCCTACCCCAGGGCTCCACGCCTCTGTCTTCGACACCTATCTCGAGCATGCCTATGCCTCAGTACACCATGCAGCCTCAATACCCTGTGTCCCAGCCGCATACTCTTCCCCCGCTGCAGCCTCATCACAGTCAATC